ACAAAACGAAATGTGAAGACAGTGAGAACATATTTGACTTTTCAGTTATATCCTATAATATACTTTCACAAGATTTATTGGAGGTTAATTAGCACCTTTACGGACACTGCTGGTGGCCAGTATTACCCTGGAGTTTTTCAGTATTCTGAAAGAAATTAAACACTTGGATGCAGATGTAGTTTATCCACAAGAAGTTCAAGAAGATCATTATAGAACAGAAATCAGGCCAAGTTTGGGATCATGGAGTTATCACTGTGAATATAAGATGTGAATGGGAAGGAATCATGATTGCTGTGCCATTTGCTTTAAACATTACAAATTTTCACTTTTATCAGTGAACACAGTAGAATTCCACGACCCTGATATTCCTGTCTTGGACAGAGACAATATTGGATTAGTTTTATTCTTGTAGCCCAAAATTTCTATGCTGCCTGTCCTGCATCTGTTGTAGAATCCAAGGTTAGGTGATATTAAGATGATCTAATTGGCAATGCTACTGGCAGAGATTTCCAGTGTTGCTCATCAGAAAGATGGTAGTTTCTGTCCTATTGTCATGTGTGGTGACTTTAATTCTGTTCCTGGTTCTCCACTTTATAGTTTCGTAAAGGAAGAGTTGAATTATTCAGGCCTTGATATAGGAAAGAATGGGGACCAAGAACAGTCTTCACAAGAACAAAAAATTTTACCTATTCCAATTTGGCCCTCAAACTTAGGTACCTCACAGGACTGTGTGTATGAGATAGAGCAGGTACCAAAAGCAGAAAAGAAAGATAGTGACTTGACACAAAGACAGCCCGATGAAAGAGATCCTAGTATCAGCTGAAAAGTTATCTTCAAATTGACAGCACCATTTCAGCTTCTCATCTGTTTTTGCGCATTACTCTCCTGACCCTGGAATTCTAGAAGTGACCACTTGTCATTTCCAAAGTGCCATAACTGTGGATTACATTTTTTACTCTGCAGAAAAGGAAAATGTTGCTGGGCACCCAGGAACTGAAGTTTCTTTGGTTGGTGGCTTGAAACTTCTAGCTAGAGACAACGTGCATGTTTGAAACATTTTCCTTTTTAACTTAGCTACCACCTGCTTTTAACTCTTTGCTTTACTAGAAAAACAAAGAGAGCCAGAGATGCCAAGGATTAGGGAAACAGGAGCCTCAAGTCATTTGCACTTTCTACCAGTAAATTATGTAATAAAGTATTGTACTCAGAAATTATTGTCTCTGAAGATATTATCTTATCAATAGTCAGGAATAAATGTATATGGCTCACCAGGACTATGAAATCAGTCTCCTGAAACATTAAGTCAATCAGCCCATCAGGAGAATGAACATACCTGGTTCCCTTGTGGCCCTGCTCACACTGAATCATTATCATTTTATGTCTGCTACCTTTGTTAGTATGTAATGGCAGCAGGCTGGGGATACAGCTCAGTAGCGCAAGTGCCTGCCTAGCAAGCGCAAGGTCCCACGTGAAAAAAGTCCTGGTATGAAAAAAAAAGTATATAATGGCAGCTCAAAGTAGCTATAATTTGCGTTAAATTTTATATAGGCTGAGAACCAGCCAACCTTTTATTCACATGGAACTGTCTCTTCAGTGTGTCCAGTTGAATACTTCGCCAGCATCTTAGCCTAACAAGGGCACCAACGCTCTTAACTTTCATCCCTCAAACCTGTCCCCAAGCTCTGACTGGCTCCTTCCCACGCAGTGAATCTCACTCATCTCCATAAATAGGACCACCATTCATCCTGGTGTTCAGGCCAAAAACCTAGAGTTATTCATTCCTTCCTCTCTGATTCTAATCTTTTGGCAAGTCTTTTTTTGTCAGATTAATCATTTTACTTTGTTTTAATTTTTAGCTTTATCAGTACATGTTTGCAGTACATAATGATTACATTCACCATGGGGAGTTGGTATATGTAAATAATATACCTTAATTCTTTTTTTCATCTCCTTCTCCTTCACTTCCTCCATCCCTTGGTCCCCTTCCCTTTTTGTGTTTTTTGTTGTTGTTGTTGTTGTTTTTTTGGGGGGGGGGTTTGGTACTGGGACTTGAACTCAGGACATTGTGTTTGCCAGGCAGGCACTTGCACCGCTGAGATATATCCCCAGTCCAGGTCCCCTTCCCTTTTGCAAAAGATCTTTTTCCCTGTTTCCTATTGTCTTTTACTTTGCTCTTTATTTATATTTGTTTCTCATATAACATAAACCTTGTGGTATTTAAGTTTGTGTATCTGATTTATTTCACTTTATATTATGGTCTCCAGGTGCATTCATTCTCCTACAAGTGACTCAAGTTTATCTTTCTTTATGGCAAAGTAGTACTCCATTGTGTCTAAATACCGCATTTTTTATCATTCACCTGTTGATGGACATATGGGCCACTTCCATGATTTAGCTATTATGAGTTGTACTGCTATAAGCATGGATATACATGTATCACTGTAATAGATGACTTTAACTGTTTTGGAAAGATACCTAAAAGGGAAATAGCTGAGTCAAATGGAATTTCTAGTTTTAGTTTTCGATTTTTGACTCTACTTTTATCAAGCATTACAAATCTACTTCCGTCTACTGCTACCTCCCAGGTCCAAGCCACCTTCGTATCTCACCTGAACTACTGCAAGAACCTCATAAACTATTCTTCTCGCCTTCTCCCTAGAGAGTTCTGCTATTTACAATAGCCAAAATGCTATTTCAAGGAAACCATAAGGGCCTGGAGGCATAGCTTGGTGGTAGAGCATTTGTCTAGCCAGCTTGAGGCCCTAAGGTCCATCCTCAGCACCACCAAAACATTTTTAAATAAGTAAACCTAAAGTCAGAACATCCTTTGTTCAAAACTCTCTAGTGGCTTCCCATCATGCTGTGAAGAAAGTTCAAACCGCTTACCCTCAATATATGGCCCCTACTTACCTCTTTCAACTCATTCACCCCTTCTTACCTCCTGCCTTTGTTCTCTTTGCCCAGCCCCACTGGCCTTTTTACTGCCCCAGAAATACATCAGAATCACCCCTCAGGGCCTTTGCACTTGTGGTTCTGTCTTCCCTGTGATTTAGTTCTCCCCAAGATTATTTATGGCTGGCTCCTTCTTATAGCTTCAGATTTGACTTGAATGTCAATGAGATTCCTCAGAGAATTTTTCCCCGAACACTCTGAAATAGCACTGCCTCCACCCTTGCCACTCAGTAGCATATCACCCCATTTTATTCTCACTGTAACACTAAAACTATCAAATGCATATCATCATAACTATTTGTTAATTGGCTTTGTTTGCTCATCTCCTCCCCTCCCCAATTTATAAGTTCCAGAAGGTCAGGGACTGCATATGTCTGCTGCACCAGTATGTATATAGATTGCCATAGCCTAGAACAGTACCTGGAACATACTAAAAACTTAAGAAGGCTAAATCTTACCTAAGATGGAAACTTTGCTTAACAACTACATTCTGAAGGTGTTACTTCCGTATTTAAAAATACTAATACTAGCACCTAGAGACCAGTGGAAATGATAATGCAGACTTGCATGTTCTTCTGGACTCCTAGAGCTGTTAACATTGATCACTGAACACTGAGATGAGTTCTATGTACCTACCAAGCGCCTGCTCTGTTAGACACTTCGGGGGCCACAGTGATGAATCACCCTCAGGGAACTGAGTCTAAAAAGACAAAGAAATGGAGACAATTAACTGGAATCTGTGGAAGAAGATTGTGAATATCAGTATAGACACAGGACACTGGGCCACAGATAAACAATCGTGGCCTTCACATTCTTTCACACCAAATGAATGTTAAGATTCCTGGGGATATGCTTTGTGGGTTTTCAATGTGCCAGTATTGTTCCCTTCAAGAGTGTTGGCACATACATAGGAACAGTTGTAGTTGTCACAATAACTGGCATAGGGAAGGGTGCCACTGCCATCTGGTAAGCAAGGCCCAGAGATGCTAAATGCTCATCAGTTCCCAGACAGACTTGTACACTGAAGGTCTCCCTGACCAGATGCCAACACAAAAGTGGTTTGTACTTGTCTAACTAGAGCATACAGAATTCTTTCAGGGACTTCCAAATTAGTATTTTTAACATGCTATTTTTTAGGTAGTCCCTTCCAAGTTGTCGCTGTCAAATTCATTTTATCATTTTGAACTAGATCCTGTACTCATAAAATATCCAATAGAAAGAAAGCCTGAGCCCAAGTACAGGATGAAGCAGAACAGCAAGTCCCACCAAAATGTCCTCTAGGGCCCCAGTACCGCAGGATTTCAGTCCCAGGCCACAAGAGGCTGGGATACACCAGTCCCCGGCAGTTAGCTCTTCCACAGTGATGTCGCAGCATCTCTGTGTGTTATGGTTATTCCCATTTCACAGACACAGTGAGCCTGACAATTCTGTAATTATATAGTAAAGCAAGAAGCTAATCTTGAATTAGAATCTTCCTGCACAGGGGCTTGTTTCCCTTAAACAGGAGTCCAGAGCCCACACAGCCAGGTAGGTCCTGGGAAAGGCGGGGAGTGTCTAGGGACTGGGCAAGAGAGGTAGAGCATTTGGCTCTCAGCTAAAGAAGTCTGTTCTGCAGGAGAACATAGCCCAGGCCTTCTAACGCTTCAAGATAAGCTGCAAATCTTGGTTTTTGAGTCCTTGTTTTTTTTTCTATTCTGACCACTAATTCAATTTACATTTACAAATAGTACACAGGCTGAAACGTACCCATCTAAGGCTTATTTGACCCAGATCTTCTAGCTTACTCTTTCTGTACACTGGACCCAGGACTCTGTTCATTTGCATGCATCTGGTCCAGTGTCAAGAAGCATTCAGGAAATTTAAAAACAGAAGTTAAATATATGGACATCTAGGCAAGGTTCTCAAGGGAGGAGGAGAAAGGTACAGGCTCAGAGACGCAGGTAGGTCATACCAGATGAGTGGTACTACTTCCGTCACGTTCTTTGCTCAATACTTCACAATATCGCCTATTTTTTCTTTTCATTTTTCTTAATAGGGATGGAACCAAGGGCCTCATGCATGCTAGGTGAGTACTCTGTCACTGGAGATGCATCCCCAGCCCAAACATCCCCTATTTCTCATTGTATCAAATCACAAGTTCCCTTTAGGGCTCTCCAAAATACACTCCTCCTCCACTTCTTTAGCCACGTATTTCATTATATCCCTGTGTCCATGTCTCTTTCTAGTTGGGCTGGTTCTCCTTGAGGGGATGCCTTCTGCAGACTATCCTCTCCCCACCGTTCAGTCTTGCTCACATCTCACCTTTTTTTATATGAAACTTTTCTGTGACAATAAAAAGCAAAATGCTTTTAAATTCAAGGCCTGCTCTCATTCAGATCTGAATTCAAATTCCACCTCTATCACTGAACAGGCAGGGGAATATCACTGGATTTGTTACTTCTTTGAACTTTAGAAGTTGGTAACTCTAAGTTATCAACCTCTCCCAAATGTTTGAAGCCAGAGTGTTTCAGATCTTGGATTTATGGAATATACAACACACACAAAGACATAGGGATGGGACCCAAGTCTAAATATAAAATTAATTCATGTTTCATAGACATGCCATACCAATTCGCCTAGAGGTAATTATATACAATATTTCTGATGCATCTATTTGACTGCAACCTGTCACATGGGGGCAGGTGTGGAATCTTCTATGGATAGTGTGGCATGAGTGCTCAAAAAGTTTTGAATTCTGGATTTCAGAATTCTATATTAGGGTTGCCTAACCCCTAATAGTGCCTACTTTACAGGATTTTTTTCCTTTTCTTTTCTATTTTGTTCTTACATGATTGTGATTCATTACATGAAATAATACTAAAATATTAAACCCCCATACATATTCAATTAATGTGAGCCCTTATTATTATTATGGCTACTCAATTTTCACTGAATTTTCTTTTCTTCTATAAATGCTACAGCTCTTATGCAGCCTCTTCTGACCAAAGCTCTGCTGGATTCCAGGTAGCCCATGTGTGCTCTGTATCCCAGGTATCAGGCCTGCCTCAGCCCACACCTTGGCTGTGAAGCTTCTTAAAGTGCCAGGAGTAGGTTGGATATAGCAGAAAATCCATAGTCTCAAGTGGACAATGAATTAGAGTTGCATAACTAACACCATCACCTCTGAGACAAGTTAACCCAAGTCCCTCTTTCTGGGAAAGGCAGGGGTGCATGCTGGGAAAATAAATATGTAGTTAGTCTCATTGCAGAAAGCTGCTGTGATATTTCCAATAATCTACCCCCCACCATGTTGTATTCTACATGTTCCTCACCTCCACCTTCCCTAGATCCCAAACCTCACTTTTCCTTCTGATGCTGGAGAGGACACAAGAAGCCAGATAAAGACCACTGTCTTTTCTTGAGTATGTGACGGGGAACCTGGACAAACAGCCATACCGAAAGTGTGATCTTTCACTGGGACTAAAGGAAAAGCCTGTGGTCCACTACAGAAACCAAGGTGGCCACTGCAGCTCCTGGCCCTACAATGTGACTCCCCCTCAAGCCAGCCCCATCCATCCTCTGATGTGTGTTGTAGCTGGGACTACAGTGCCCACAGGCTTATTCCACTTCTCACTTTTCTCTGTGCTGAACAAGAACTGAAGGAAAAATACCTTCATGGAAGTTACTCTGTGCTTCAAGTTACTCCATGCTTTGAGAGGACCCCCCCCCAAAAGAAAAACAGCATAGGAAATGTGACTATCCCAATACTATACTCTTTAAAAAGCAAATTTTAAAAAAGAGAATTTAAGAGAATATAAATAGAATTTATGCTAAAGAATTGTTTCCTGAGAATGAAAATTGAGCCCTTCCAATTGTGCTGCCTAAGTTTCAACAACATGAAGTTAGATCAGAGGCGAGAAGAACCTAGGGCAAAATGGGCATGATCTCTGAGAATGAAAAGGCCAAAAGGGTCACCACTTCTCCCTACTGGAAGCCAGTGTTCCACCACAAGTCACTCTTTTGAGTTAGTAGCATTCAGAAGTTCTTCAGTAATGATCTCAAAACCTGGGTAATCAAATGAAAAGAAGGCGTATGTCCCAAGGACCAAGACTATGATTCCAAATGCAGAGATGGCAGTATCCCCTACTGTATAGCTTCTCCCATCCCTTTTCCTTCCCTCACCCCTGCCTACCAACCCAAGCTCTGGACGGTCAAATTGGAAACAAATCTTATTCCACCCACACTGGAAACCTCAAGTCTTGAAGTCTCTGAAGACAAGGGCCTGGTCAACAGGAGGGGATGAGGTGGGGGTGGGGCGCAGAACTCTGCTAATGATTAATTGGATAAGTGCTGCAAGAAGGATGAGCCATTGGCTTACTGATCGAGCAATAGAGGGCATCTTCAGCTCTCATTAGCAGGGTATCATTGCCAACCTACCCTAGGGAAATGCCTCGATTGACCTCCACCGGAGTAGTGGTCAGCGCGCCCCCTAGAGTGGCGTCCGGGCGGGAGGAAGAGCCCGCAGGGTCTAGGGTGAAGCAAGAGGACCCTGGGAAGAGCCTAGCCGCATCTCTAGAAAGCCTAACTCCGCTGAGGTAGGAGGGGAGAGCCAGGTCCCCTGCGTAGCCTGTCCCCAATCCCCACAGAGGGTCCAGTGTGGCCCTGTCTGAGAGGCACCCACAGCTCCGCTAGGCCAGCGTGGCCAGCTGACCAAGATGCAGCGGGCTGTGGCTGCCTTCTCTGCGAGCAGAGCGAAGGACATTTACCGGGAGCCTCAGGAGCCGTTGCGTCTCCACTCTGGGCTCTGCTGGGATAGCGACACCGCCACCACCATCGCCACTGACTCCGCCGCCTCCCTCCAGCCACCGCCGTCGTAGCTCCCCGCGACTCTTGCCCGCGAGGCCAGCTGTTGAATGGTTCGCATCCAGCGCACGCAACGCAGAAGCGTCCTCGCCGCATCCAAGTCAGCGACGCAGGCGCGCGCCCCGGTGCCAACGCCCTGTATACCCCTCGCCCCGCTGCGGCCCAGGCGAGCTCGTGGCGGCTGCCTTCCCGCTCCGGGCTGCGGGTTGCGGGCTGCGGGCTGGGGGCTGCGGGCTACGGGCTGCGGGCTGCGGGCGGCGGGCTGCGGGCGGCGGGCTGCGGGCTCGCTGGCCCGCCCGCTCGCTCCCTGGGTAGGCCCTCGCCAAACCAATTGCCTCCCCTCGCGGACTCCGCCCCCCACACTGCCATCTCCCAACTTGCCCGCAGGACCAATGGCAACAATAGACTAGTCCCGCCCCTTCGATTTCCCCAGGGCCAATCGCTTTCTCCTGGGGAACCATTCAAGAAACCCCGCCCCTCTTGTGCAGCATAGCTGGAGCCAAAGTGTATCCCGTTGAGCTGCGGCTCCTGAGGATTCCGAGGCTCTACACAGGCTAGCCCCACTCCGACCCACAAAATTACACCGATTCAGAGGCTGCAGCATACCTGGTCTGCCGATCTATACACATCCTGTTTCCTTGGAAGAAACGTATATTTTAAAAGCTAACGAGAGAGTTAGTGTTGCCCACCTTATCTCTGAGGCAGGACTGCTGAGAAACGGCCACCCACCCAGCCAGATCCTACACATAACAAGGTCAGCAAGAACATCGAGGATCAAGACTGATTTCACACCCGCACTGCTGCTGGTCCTTGTTGGTTGTTTGTTTTTGTTTTGTTGTTGTTGTTTGTCTCATGTACAGGAGCCCTTCCTTGATAAGCTGGAAAATTGCAAGGGTCAGGTGTTCACTGGCTCTGCAGGATGCTACTTGAGTCCCTGGCCTCCTGGCTTAAGGCTGTGTGACACTGAGCCCCTGGTAACTTGTGCCCTTGGAGGCCAAGCAAAACCAGCCTTGGCCCTCCTTCCCCATGGTGGTCCACGAATTTGAAGACAATTCTTCTGATCCACTGTTCCTTCTGATCCACCGTTCCTCCAAAGGCATAAATTCAAGGCCCCCCGTGGAACTGATCTGTTCAAAGTAGAAGCTGAGAACTGAGTCTGTCCTTCTCTTACCCCCACCCAGGGTACAGTCCCTTCTCTACAGAGCAGACCAAGATAGAAACATCCTTTGTCTGGATGACTTTTCAGCTTGAGCTCCCCAATGTGGCATTTGCTTTCTTCACAGCGATCTCACGAAATTGACACTTATTAGACTTGCTCTCAGCTCCCCCTTGGGTGTTTCTCACTGTGGCTGCTGTGACAGGGCCGTTTTCTATTGGGTTGTCTGGCATGAGAGGGGTGTTAATTTCACTCTCTTCTATCAAGATCTTTTTGCTGCTCATTCTGTCCTGAAAAGATCTTCACCTCTGTTTGCTACTACTGCCTTTGCTCAGACACCCTTCCTGTTTGTACTCCAACTGCTCCCAACTGGTCCTCTTGCCTGTAGGCCTTCACCCTCTTGGCTGCCTTCCCAACATTCCTCTCATCCATTTCACACTGGAAGTCAGAGTTGTACCTCAAACACTAATATAATCATGACACTACATCCCACCCCAGCTTCCAATCCTTTTTGGCTCCCTCCCCTCACCTCCATTGCTTTTAGGATAAAGTCAAACCTGTGGCACAGCACGTTAAACCCTTGGTGATCTGGTCTTCTCTAGCCAACCTCATTTTCAGCTATTCTACCGCCATCATAGAGCTCCCTTGACATCACATAAACTGAACTTTCTGTTGTTTCTCAAATAAGCCATGGTATCAATTCCATGCTCTTTATACAGTCTAGAACAACCTTCTCTCTACTCTCCTATACCTGCCCTACAACACACTGATGTATCTTATTCATTCATTGAACAAATACCATGCACATCCACTGTGTATAAAATGCTGGAGGCATAAAATTGGTAATATTTAGAGTCTGTTATTCCCAGGCCTTAAGTATGCAATAAATTTTTGTGTTATGTTTTCTTTTTTTTTTTTTTTTTTTTCCGGTACTGGGAGTTGAACTCACGACCTTGCGCTTGCCAGGCAGGCACTGTGCTGCTGAGGTAAATCCCCAGCCCCGTGTTATTTTTTCTATAAGAAATGAACAGAAATGTAAAGATTTGATCCCTCCATTAGGTGCTTCCAAATAGGGTGTAATGTCCCCATTTCCATTCACACTGCTACGTAAATATCAAAGCAGCTAATTTGGTGGGTTTTGAAGGGGCTGGGAATCAAGCCAGGGCTTTGTACATGCCCAGTAGGTGTGTTTTACCACTAAGCTACACCCAGCTCAAGGCAGCCCATTAGGATGATTGCTTTGGACTTCAGATTTATATAAATAAACTAAAGGCTAAAGAAACTGAAACTGAGATTTTCGCCCTTGCTGACTATCATTAAATAATATTTAAACTCATTCCACTAAGGTTGGCAATTTGAAGGCTATAGGTTATGACCCTTTCCTTTCAAATTTGTTTCAACTTAACACAAGGCCCAACTTGTTAAATTGCCCTGTGTATGCTTATGCTTCTGTGTGTTGGACTCTTTTTCCTCTTTGTTTTTCATTTTTAAGATCAATTAAGCAATTTGTGATATATTAATAGCTGTCAGTGTTTCTGAATCTGAAGAGAAAGAGCATGAACACGAGTGTATGTTGTTAAAAGGAACCAGTTGCAATTACATAACTACAGAATTTCAGTGTTAAAGGGATTGTTAAGTTAATTTTGTCCAACCTCACCCCGCATGCTTGAACTACTGTGTGGGCAGTTTTTCTGTCTCTTTACACAGTTCTTAGCTCCTCTGAAAGTATGCTTTACTATTACTGTGGAAACATGTCTGTCCATTGCTTTTTGCCACATCTGAGTAATTTGAGAGGTAGCTGGAATACTTCTTCAGCCATTTGGTGTGTTTTTTTCCTTTCTCAGTGTTCAATAGGTCCTAAAGACCTCTTTCCAAGTGCAAATCCCACATGAAAGAATCACCTGTTAACATTTCCTACTTATTAGCATCTAGCATAAGGAAAACAGATGGCTTCATGGAAAAAAAAGAAAATGTAAAGATACTTGTATCAAATTGCAGATTTCAAAACCTTTTCACTTATTTCTCATATTTGAGCCTCATAATAACCTGAGTAAATACTTTGATTTCTATTTTATAGGGGGAGGGATTGAAAACTCATAGGTTAAACCATTCCTCGGTGTGCTTAAATTTTAGTTCTAAAAAAAAGTTTAGTTCTGCCAGTAACCTTGGGCAAGTCACTCAGTTTCTTGACTCTAGGACTCAGAACTAGAGTCTAGGACTCAGTTTCCCCATCAATAAAACAAGATGAGATGCTTTACAAAGGTCCTTTCAGCTTTGTCTATAATCCTATCACTCCTGCTTGCTGACATTGGGGCATGGGGTGGGGATTATTTCAATGGTAATACGAAATCATTTTAACACTAGCAATACTTTTTGGAAATGACAGGCTCTGGTGGGACACCAAAGTAGACAGCATGAGAGCAGTGAACACTAGAAGGAAGAAAATACAAGAATCCTAGAAAAGAAACTCTGAACACCACACATACTACTCCCTAGGTCTGTGACACAACAGCTTCAATACAAATTTTGAACTAAAAATTCCAAGTCATTTAATGATTAAAGATTCTTCTATGCAGTGATTAAAGGCTGCTTCGGCAACTATTTGACCATATTCAGAGAATGTTTATCACAATAAATCATATTTTCTTAAAGTCTATTTTACAACCTCTGCTTACTCCATATAGTAAAGGAGATAAGAAACTGCAGCCTATGGAGGTCATTTGGAAGGAACCCAACAGGGGAATGGATGCCTTCTAATAATTTATAGAAGTCCTCGGTCAGTATGCTCTTCTGCCCTACTCACTCATTTACTAGGACAACTGGAGGAGGACAGAGATGCAGCCTATCTAATGACTCTATAATTGCTTTAAGGAAAAAGCAGACTTTATGCCTAACAAAAAAGGAATTTAAGATACCAGGTGAAAAGTGGTGATCTTTAAACTGGTTGCACAAGAAACTGAAAGCTAATCCCTAGAAGGATAAGCCTACTTAATAATCTGTTCCTTTTAGAGTGATTAAAACATATTTAATTATGGTAGTCAGTTAGTATCATACATGTTTAATCACTCTTTTAGTAAGTGGAGCTAAGATAATAAATAACACTAACCTATTTCAGTGAGTTCTTACAAGTATTAATTGATTTTAGAGGGCAGTGGTTCAAGACGGCATCTCATTTTATAGTTCAGGCAGGTCTTGAACTCAGTATGTAGTCCAGGCTGGCCTGGAACTCACAGCAATCCTCCTGCCTCAGCTTCCTCAGTGCTGGGATTACAGGTATGTACCACCACGCCCAGCTAATTAATTGATTTTTTATAGTTTCAGAAGTTTCCTAAAACAGTGGCCTAAGAATGTGGAAGCTTTAGTCCAAGCTCTGCCTTTAGTAGCTGGGTGATCTATTTGTTTAACTTATCTCTTCTTATTGAAGTTTTCCCCTAACAAGTATGTAGCGATCTTCTTTATCTCTTTTGATCTCTTTTGATCATTCTTGCGGTTCACATTATCTGCAAACAGAATAGCTACACCCGCTTTTTTCTCGGTTCTTATTGCATGGAGTATGGTTTTCCAGCCTTTGATTTTTCAGTCTATGAATTTCCTTTTGAGTTAAATGTGTTTCTTGTATACAGCATATTGTTGGATTTTGTTTCTTGATCCACTCCGTCAGTCTGCTTCTTTTTATTGGTGAATAGATACCATTTACGTTGATGGTTATTAGTGATACGTATTGGATGATCTTTGTCATGTTATTTTCCTGCTATTTGTTCCTCCTTTTTCCCTCGG